GTATTCATACAGACACACGTTTCTGCTCCGACTGAAGATTTCAGTATCTTTCTTGTCTCTATAAACTCTGTTTGTTTCACTCTATATTAACAGTGTTATACTGTATATCAACAGTAACAGTGGTAGAATTGATACCAGCGGTGGAGGTCCACCCTTTTCTTAAAACACCACTGAGCAATAACGGAGTCACCTCCACTCCTCTCAGTAGGAATGTTATGACCAGAAACATGCATCAATCAGCGAACAGGCAAGTGACAAACGAGTCATATCTCGCAGAAATGCCCCGCCTCCACTGGTACTATTCACCAGCATGACATCTTTCCAAACTCCACGATACTCCCTGTGGGAAAAAAAAAAAGCTTGTTGCCAAAGAACTAGGGGTCATAGTCACAAAATACATCAAGGCTATCCATTTGGAAAACAACAACATAAAAATTACAGCGGTGAAACCTTTAACCTACTGAGTTTTAGTCCATCACAAAACTCACTGAGAAAAGTCAGCGAGAGTGAATCCGAAGCATTCCTGTGTGTCAGCTCACCTCAGTTCTAAAAACCATTTAGCTTCAAATGTATCTGAATCAGACCAGAGCTTGTTATGCTGTGCTCATGGCTTGTTGTACACATCCTGTTTAGAAGCCACTTTGTCTCACCAGCCGTACTGTAGCTGGTCTGCCTGGCACAGTGTGTGTCACACGCTCAGCCGGTGGATGGAAGCTGGAATATACTGTCTGTGGTCACTAAGAACCTGTTGGGAGACAGCGTCTGTCCCCGCAGACTGTTCCTCCTCACTACACATCCACGCAGTTTGACTCTAACATGTCAACTGATAAAATGTCGGCTTGTTTTTCTAATTATGTTCAATTGACTCCAGACACCAACCGGGACTTGTGCTCTGTCAACAAATCACTGTAAGTAAAGTTCATTCATGAAACATGTCATCATGGCAACAAAGTCAACTCTGCTGAGAGTTTCCTGAGTAAAAGCTGCTCAGCTTGGTAAAGTGAAAGCTCTTAATAGGAGTCGCTGTGGTCGGAAAAAAGGTACTTTGTGACTACATGCTAGAAAACACTCCTCTTCATGGGAGAAATAACTGGAAATACAATTGGAAACGCCTCTTAACTGGAACTGAAAGATGTTACAAATAGGACGATTGAAAATCTAGAGCAACAAATTGAGGAATTAAGACTACATTGTTTTTAAATCCATTCCTGGAGGAAATGAAAATGAAGATTTAGTATCTGAGAAAAGGCAGAAAAACTCCTCGTCAATCTCTCTATCTAAGGAAGAAGTTGAATATCATGCATGGTTACCTGTTTCTATTCACTGTCACTAAGTCTGTCTGCACCTGTTATTTCATGTACAACACACCTGTATTAAAGCTTTTGTTAGTGATAATAATTTACTGCAACACAGAGAGACAACTGGCACATTCAAAGATATTATTTACAGGGAATTTAAACCTAAATTAAGTCTCGTTGTTGGGACAAACAAATCAGTTGCATAACTTCACTGCTGCTGATGCTTCCACCCCTCAGAGCGAGCACACATCCCAATTAAAAGAGAAGTATTAAAGTATTCCATCTAAATAAAACAGAGCCGTAGATCAGATGAGACTGAACTCACTGTATCACACCTGATGAAGCAACGCAGCCAAGACTTTGCTAATGCTGTGTCTCTGTCCATTATCTCTGCTGGCAGACTGTGTGTGTGTCTGGTGTGTGTGTGTGTGTGTGTGTGTGTGTGTGTGTGTGTGTGTGTGTGTGTGTGTGTGTGTGTGTTTCAGGGTCAGAGTAGTTTCCTGCCCATCTTCAGGTTTAATGGGTAATGGACTGGATGAAGGATCACTTTACACCCCCAATTACTCAGTCACTGTGCAAGTGAGTGAGGAAGTGCCTCTGTATGTGTGTGTGTGTGTGTGTGTCTGGAAAAACATGCAATATCAACAATAAAAGTAACAACAACGAACGGCTTGCCCCTTCCTAAAGACGATGAATGCAGCCCAGTGTACAGTTCATATACATGCTGAGGCATGCTGCAGTAGACACGTCACAGAAACCAGTCTAACCAGTTGAGCTCCAGGGGTTCAACAATGATTTAACTTTTATATAATGTGTTTTACATACATTAAAATGAGGAATAGGAAAATAGGACGTACAGAACTGGAAGCAGGGATGCGTTTCACTTCAATATACAGAGATGAAACCGATTGCTTTGCCTGAGACTGTTACTCATCATCAGATTAAACATTACTCTGTGGGTTTAGTCTCCTTTATCAGAAATTGCAATATGTAGATTACACAGTGCTATAAAATACTGTCTTACTGTGCTCAAGCCTACACAATGTTCAGTGAAAGTAAATGTGCTTGACTGTGTGTGACACTCACCGGGGGTGCAGTGGAAGAACAGGAAATGTTGCCACTGTCCATCACGTGACCCCACTAACAAATGAAAGTGACCCAAGGGATAAAATCTGATTGAGTCACCTGGGTGTGTCCTCACCTGGGCTTGGAGTGGTCTAGTCAGAACTAGATCACTTTGCATTAATTTGGGAAGCGAGTTCAAACAGGTCCATAGAAACCAGCCGAAACTCTTGAGATGCATCACTGAAACCAGTGTGACCAGTTCAGCAATGTGCCATTCTGTACTCCAGAGAGGCTCTAGTCCACTGTCTATCTACGCTCAGAGCTGAGTTAACCTTTAGCTAACCATAGCTCAACGCTAACCTGCAAATACACACCTTACATGTGCTCTTAAAGCTGCAGTGCGTGGAGGACTGCTGCCCTCAGCCTTCAGGTTGTTTTCAGCTAACGGCTACAGCTAACTCTAAATACCATAACTGTCGATGCTGTGTAAACTGGAGTCATGCCAGAGTGCTGGTCAACACAATAAAACCATTTCAAAAATCCAGCTTACTTCAGCACATTGATTGGTTGGCAGTATGTACATGTAACTGAGAAAGGAGTAATGTGAGCTCTCTTCCCTGAATCCAACCGCCTTCAATTTTACCAGAGAATCAGATATCTTCACAAACCTCAAGGATTCAGATCTTCACCAAAATTAATCACAATATTTTGGCCTGAAAACTGAATTTCATTGTCTTTAAGTTTTCCCAAAAATAAAGGCAAAAAGCAATAAATGAATCCTGTCACTTAAACTCTATCAAGTGGCCTTAGTAAAAGCACAATGATTCATTCCAACCATTGCATTTAAGGATTTGTACGGACTCATCAGAGGCAAGAAAAACCACATGGTTGTGGTTGTGCGTGTGCTGGCATCAAAATCTCATGCACACCTGGAACACCTTATACATTAACCTACCTAACAATTCACACTGTTCCTCCATGATGGAGACATAGCTGCTTCATGGGGACAAATAATACATCTGTAAGGTTTGAACTGCATTTTATAGATTAATGGCCTCATTAAAGCGTTTACTGGATTGTATTAGCAGTGCTAGCAGTGGTAATATCTACATTACTTGTTACACAAATTTCTTAGTTATTCATTGGACTGATTAAAGCCTACAGTACACACCGATATCAGGAATGTACACTTGCACAAGTCCTCACCAGTAAACAACAAAATAAGTTGTTTGCCTGTGCCTTTTGAAATGACTGTTCCAAAAAACCAATTATATGAATGTTTTGTCTCCAGTGTTTGAGTCAGACTATTTCCAACAACAAAGTTCTGTTGCCAATCTGGAGAGGAAAGTCATCCACCTGTCTGGAAGAGGTTGAACATCAGGGAAGCGTAACAAACAAACAATGCTGTGATTTTTCTGGAGAGAAAAGTCTCCCTGAAAAGAACTACCTCTCTTTAAACTACAATGGGCCTCTCAGTTAAAACAAACCACAGACCTGTACTCGCATAAACTTTACAGTCCCAGTCTGAATAGAACCAAAGTGAATGGGCCCTGAGCCTAAAATTTTAACAAGGTTCTGCACAGCCGCAACTTTTAATCCTTCTTTGTTTCAATATGGGGCTCAAGTTTTTTGCTTCACCTAATTGGAAAAAAAGGCTTTGTTGTTATTGTCAAATCTGACATGAAGCCTGTAAAATCTGAGGTTACCTGAATGCGCTTTTTCTTTCCTATCTATAGCAAGAAACTGTTTAAATTTACTAAACGGACCCACTGCACCTGACCCGCAGCCAAAGCACAACACAAAGTGTGGACCTGGTTCGACTCTTGTTCTCTGTTTGCCTGAAGAACTCAGACAGACAAATGGTCGTGGACCGGTCTGCAGCTCTGAATGAAAACACACTACAAACCACTGTGAGCGTCTGCTTGTAGGGACAGACTGTGATTGGGGAAATGTTAAAAAAAAAAAAAAAAAAAGTTTACTATAACGACTCCAGGACAATCAACATAAATCCTTTGATGATGGTCCAAAGGTTCTGTCTTAACCTGCAACAGTACACACCCAAACACACACATATACATGTAAATACACTCATGCCCTGTGCAGGGGCTGCCTGCAGGAAAGCATATTGCTCAATCATAGAGACAAAGAAAGAAACTGTCCTCTTCTCTATGCGTCTCTCTCACTTTCCATCTACCTCTCTCTCCCTTCTCTCTCTCTCTCTCTCTCTGGGTGACACACAACTTCCTGTTTCATGAATAATTTTCAATTCAAATCAGTTTCCTTAAGCACCAACACGAATAATAACAGTAAAAGAAAAATTACAAGAATGACAGGAATTTCTCTCTCACTTTCTTGGTTTGTCATTCACTGTCACTCTCTCTCTCACAGACACACACACACACCTCTTGTAAAGAATGTTGCTGGTCATTAGAAACCTGTTCTGTGTTTCATTCCTCAGCACACACACAAATCATACACTTCCTAACTTTTAAAACATGCAACACTGACACACAGACCGTGTGCACAAATGTCAACACACAATATAACACATTCATAAACACCTGCTTTCACACACCTTGCTCTTGCTCTCTCTCACACACACACACAGTGTCCATGTGTCTCTACATCTCGTCCCACCTGTGCCATTGTAGCAGCAGCAGCAGCAACGAGCGAGGATCCATCCACAGCAACGCCGGCCTCGCTTCATCCTCGCTCACACACACATCCTACACTCGCACTCCTCTCTCTCACGTGTGCACACACACTCACAGACACAACTCTCTCTAGCTGTCTGACTCGCTCACTAACTGGCCGAGTGGCTTGTTGATGTGTACAGCGAGACCTTCAAGTCCACACTGCTGAGATTCGACAAAGAGAGAGAGGGAGAGAGAACAAATGAGGTAGGAGGAGGAGATGGAGGAGGAGCCTACACACACACACACACACACACACACACACACACACACACACACTTGTCTTTCTCATAGTTGTTGAGTTTCCCTCCCTCTCTCACTCTCTCTCTCTCGTCTACACTCGGCTTCTCGAGAACAGAAGTCAGTGTTAATTATTGTGGAGGGCTACTTTCCCATTGTGGAGAGCAAGGTTCCAACACTGTGTGTGGTTTGATGTGTGTGCGTGAGAGAGAGAGAGAGAGGTGACAGAGGGAATGTGTGTCTTAAGCCCTCTTCAGAGATCAACTTTGTAACGTTGCCGACTTCATCTGTCTATGTGTTGAAGTAGTGGCTTGTTGGCATTCAAACACAGGTCCCTGTTACGTCAATGGCCCGTAATAGCTCTATTCAAATATGGCAGGATCATTACTGATAGAGCTGCAATGCTTGCACAAGATTTGCTGCTGCGAGTCATGGCCATGCTGGAGAACAGTGGCAAGTTGGACAATAACATTACATAAATGGTTTTTTTTTTTTTTTCAACTCATGTAGTTTAATTACTTTTTCTTTGAAAGGCAGCTGTGGTCAATATTATTATATTAACAATGGATCACATGACTACTTGAATGTGGACAGGGGTTGCTGTTAGTGACAAACCCCATAGACAATTATCACCTGGGTCCTGGGTTTAGCTTTGTAGTGACTTGCAGCTAATTGTCTTGGCCCACATCTTTACTGTTTTGGTTCCCTCTCATTGCTCTTATTGCTTTGTTTTCAGTCACAGGATCTGATCTGCAGCTCTTGGATGTCCGGAGCAATATCAGGTTCAGTGTCTTGCTCAAGGACACGTCAACACATGGGCAGGTAATGGAGGACCCCTACGAGCTGCCAGGTGCAGCTAGAGTCTAATCTGAGGAGCGTCACTTGAGCAATTCGAGGGAAAGGGCTTGTGTTTAAAGCTCCAACACGCATGTTCTGGAAATCAAGCTAGTGCGAGCATGAAACTCAAAAAGCAAAGCACACATTCTGCCCAGTTCTTTATCTACATCCTTGTTGCGTTCACAGTCTCAGTTAATGCGGGAACAAGGAGCTTGATAGCTTTTGAGTCAGCCACAGCAACATCGTCAAGCCGCTAACACTAGCCTGAAGTGTGTAGAGAATCCTGCTGCCTATTAGCCGACAGTCCCTCAGCCCCCGAGCATAGTCGTAAATGAAAGGACATTAGGTCGTGACTCATTTAGTTCCTATTTGTTCACATGCTTTATGTAAAGCTTTTCACTGGAATCAGACTGTAAATTTCAAATGCTAGTCTGATGAATATTGGGTTTTTTTTTCCTGAGGGTCTAATCTCCTCGACAACTTTAAACAGCTTCGCTATTGGCTTATTACAACAGCTTTATCATTCTGACAACTCACCAAATCATGACGATCATCAGAAAAATATTTGGAAAAGCTCATCTCAGCTTGAGAAATGTCATCTGTGGACATTAAGCCCACTGTCCACTATTATTCAAGTACAGTGTTTATTTCTTTATCTCATGTTTATCAGTTCTCAGGCTAGACTTGCACCAGACTGGCTCGCCTCACTAAAAAAAGGACATCTATTAAATCAGGCCAATGCTCAGCATCTGAAGGACCAATGGACTGTAAATACTCCCCCCGCCTTGTGTGTGTGCACCTTGACGAGCACTGCAGCAGCAGGTAAGACAACACACGTGCACTTAGCCTAGATAAAGTGCTTCCAGCAGCTCCGTTTCCCTGCAGTGTCCCATTTTATACTCGGTGGAGGAAGTACAGGAAAAATACCTCTGCAGTGATAACTTCACATTACTGTTGGTAACGGTTTCAGTCTTACACACGACCAGTTAATAATTCCCAAGGTCTTTTTAAGACAATTACAATCTCATAATAAAATGACGAAGCTGGTTTCACACAGAAGAGAAGCAAGATGTCAGCAACCAAAACTATTCACAGTATAACTGTTAGTCACAGATATCAACTATGTGATTACAGTGATGAAAGTCCTGATGAAGGTAAAGTTACAGCTTTTAGCTCCATCTATTTTAGTGACTTCAAAACTCCATTGTGACTGATTCTCAGTTAACTTTAGAGACTCAAGTGTCTTCACAGTCTTTCAGAGAGGACAAGGAGACCTACTTTACAGAGCAGTCACAAGACTTGAGACACACACACACACACACACACACACACAGAGGGCAGACAGAGGGAAGAGGCTGAAGCTGAACCAGTCAGAAGTTTATATCCAGTTCACTTAATTAGCGGTGACTCTTTAGGGTTAATTAACAGTTTGACTCATTCATTAACAAATACAGAACAGTTCATTAAATAACCATCAGCCTCCAGTCATCTCACTGTGGAGGAAGCAGACGTGGGTCCTGCCCAATTCTGAATTTATACCAGGAAACAATTATGGTTTTCAGGACACAACTGACATAATGCATTGGGGTCAGTGGGGAAGTCTGTGCTGGAATCAAGTGTTAACTTGAAACTTAGTGCGACACGTTTGTTCAGTGTGACACACACGTCTGGCTCCTGACGAGCACCTGAATGTACGGTGCGCAGCAAAACACTAAATTGGTAAAATAAACTAATGGTGCGATAATGAAAAATGATTTTCAAAAGTTTAAGTGCAGTAAGTTTTATTTAGGAAGGTAAATGTGAGCCAGTGTGATTTGTCTGTGCAGAAGCTTGATCACTTTTGTCCTGAATTAAACATGTCAGGTATGTGAGAAGTCAGCTTCTATTTGTAGGACATTTGCAGAAATGTTAATGTAATGGCATGGTTGCACAGATGATGCAAAAACCTGGCTGAGATTGCAGCAACATAAATTATTGAAGGGAGTGGAAGCTCCTGCCTGCTGCTCTGTAAGTAAAACAAATGGCTATTAAGATTGAAATACAGTTTTCATGATAAATCCGCACTGTTTGATTTCTCTGATATCACCTGAAACTTACAGTGACACTGTATTTCTATATGAAGCCTTTTGATCATCTCTGCTCCTGCTCTTACTCTGGCAACTCTGCAGCTTCTGCAGCTCCCCTGTCTAATTTTAACCTTTTCTCACAACTGGTTCATGCAATATATTTTCTTTTACACATTCGTAACAGAACTACAACAAAACACAGTCTTTCATTCACAATTATAACTGAGGTAAAGGTGTGATATTGTATTTACACTGCAGCAACTGGAAGCTGAACTGAGAAGTTGGACAAGTCACACATCATGATTCAGCGCCGGGGTCAAACATTCGGATCGCCTCAGTGTTTCCTGAATATCTGAAACCTACTGTATGTGGATGTGGATTGTGCGTTCGTTTCCATGTGTAGCGGTCGCAGATGTCTGATTTGCATGTCTCTACAGAAACACAAAACATCCCTCTCATCAGTGAGAGCAGGAAACACACCATGGCAGCGTCAGGCAAATCAGCTGATCTCATGCTGTGTGTGTTTGTGTGTGTGTGAGAGAGAGAGAGAGAGAGAGAGAGAGAGAGAGAGAGAGAGAGAGAGAGAGAGAGAGAGAGAGAGAGAGAGAGAGAGAGAGAGAGAGAGAGAGAGAGAGACTACAGTAAAGAGAAATCTCCCACGCACACAACCACCTCCGTTATGATTATGACCCTTAGCGAGACAAAAACTGTAAACTGGGTTGCAGCAGGCCAGTTACACAAGGAAAGCAAAGGGCGTCTGTGTATGAAGGTGGGAGGAAGTTTTTTTAAAGTTTGGTGTGCAAGAGTCCTGATAAGGTGTGTGTGTGTGTGTGTGTGTGTGTGTGTGTGCGCGTGTGTTTAGTGAAGGGCTGGATTGATTTTCCAATTAACTGCAATCTTTATTTGAATGATCCAATACTAAATCTTAAAGTTCCCACATCAATCTCTGCAGCATGTTCATCTGCACTAAATGTTTCGTGTGTGTAGAAGTTACTGGCTGCTTTGTGGAAAACTGAGTTATTACAACATAAAGGTTATTTAAAGTTAAAAAGTAACATGGATGACATTATCTGAGCTCCGTTTGTGTTTGTTGAAGACATATGAACTATGAGATGTGAAGCCGTGGAAGTCGAATGGACTCTGTGTGGATTCTACTTAATTCAGTCCGTCTCTCCCAGAGAGCTAATGCTAGCTAACAGCTGTGCGCAGATCTCAGGCTGACGTCAGCACAAACAGTGCAGATGAATTAGAAGCAGTCTTTCAGTTTCTATCCTGTCTGTGCTCACTGTGATCATTAAAGTGGATGTCTGTACTTAGCGATGGTATCTGCAACTGACGGTCCATGTGACAGCATTTATTATCATTGTAATGATGATGCCCTGGAGCAGGTTTTGTATCATAAGCTAAAACACTGGTGTGTCATGTTTTAGTCATCTTGCATTGCTAAAAAAAGAAATAAAATTAAAATAAAATTAAAAATAAATCCTTGTTCTTATGACCGGGAAATGTATTTACAGTCCAGTCAACAAGTATTTTATATTATATTATATATATTTTATATTGAATGAAAAAAACAGCGTTGGTCATTTGTAGAATATAGAAGAAACTTCTCAGGATAAATTCTGAGAAGCTCTTTATGAAACATTTATTGGTATTTATCTGATGTAACCGAATCATCAAGAACCAAATCAAAATGAATTAATTATTGACTTTGTGAATCAAAATAGAATCGAATTGGGAGATCAATGCTCGAGACCAGCCCTGGTGAATAGCCATCATTGTTGCTTCCATCTCTAATATAACAAACATGACTCTGGATGTTAAGTAAATGACTGATCATTTTCAGCATCTTCCTCTGGGCTATAAAACACCCACAATGCAATGAGATGAAATCAGCTCATCCTTATACATCCTCATCACGAGGAGCTGCTGTTTCCATCTGAGCCCGTCAGTTTCTGATCCAGATACAGACGGCACAATCTGCTGCGTGTCAACACAGTCAGAGGTCAAAGGTCACATGGAACAGGTGCAGTGAGGAGGTGTTTAAGCCGCTCTGCACTGCCCCCTGTAGGACATAACAGGTACACTCAATCAGTGGTAACCGTAGTAACCATTAAGAATGAGAGAGTGGCTGTGTCTGCAACCACCCTAATGTCCACTCAGTCACCACTCCCTAAACAATAGACACTCAAAGGTTTCCTCAATAGTGAGCAGTGACTTAAGATTCAGACACTTACTCATGATTGTTATTTGTGTCATCACTGACAGCTGCACAGTGGTAATCTGCACTGCATTGTGGGAATGTTAGTACAAAGTATAAAGACTTTTCGTGTTGCATTGTGGATATTTAGAGAGCACTACAAAGTGGCTGCATTTACACACTCAGGTTGGACACTCGAATAAAACGGTGGACTATGTACAGCGCACTATCAAGTGGATAGGATGCAATTTTGGACACAACCAATTATTTTTGGGAATGTATTTACTTTTCAGAACAGCTGGCGTTTTATGCTAAAATATTCTGATTAAAATCAAACCAGATTCTAGGCAGATTTATCTATTCTCAGCAGTCAACACAAAATACCCAGTATCATATTGCACACAGACACACATCAGTAAACTTAACAGATGTGTTTTCAAGGCGTTAGACACAACAAAGTCACAACACTGAATTTTTCAGTGACCTTTCCAAAACTGTGGCCAGATTTTCCTGATGGTGTAAAGGAGGAAACATCCTTTCCACATGCTCAGACTCTGTTACTGCAGACAGACACCTTCAATTAAACCCATCTGTTAGACGCATTTAAAGATCTTCTTCCTAAATAAATAATGCATATGTACACGATGATCATTTACAACATTTACTTTTAGGAGCTCTGCAGTGTCTGTCTGAGGGGACTTGATAGAGAAAGCAGAACGGGTTTCATACATATTGTAATGTCCACATCTCACCAATAGAGGTCAATACAGATCAGTGTACTTGAAATGACCCGACTAATGAAAAGCAGTCCTCTCTACTTCTGTCAGCCTGATTAACAAAGACACAATGAAAGTTATAAAACCGAAAGTATTACTTAATTTTTGCGGTTACATCTGAAATATAGATCTTTTCTACACTTAGTTCTTCCTTCCGGAGGGTCAGCATAATTCTAGGAAACACATCACAGCTGGACTTGGTGGTCTGGCTTCCCTCACTGTATAAAGACTGAAATCCATCCAATCAGGCCACTTTGTACCACTTTGAACTGGAAGCCTGCCACACTTTTGAATTAGAGCAGCTGTGGGTGTCACTTCTAACTTACACTGGGTTTACAAATTAATGCAAAAAACAAGGAATGTAGTTCATGCAAGCCTAAGCTTTTATTATTTCTTTCGTAACTTATGTGTGAGACTTTTTAAACAACATGTGCGTATATCATTCACAGCATCTTAACTCACAGCAGAGTTTATTCTGTTTCTGCTACGGGAGCCAAGTGGAGCAAATGAAATGATATCGACAGAACAATGTCATGGCTGAATCTCACAAGTGACTACATGGTTGTCACACTCAGTAACGCAACTACATTTACAGACGATGTACCATGAAGAACATGCTGATCCTGAACCAGAGTAGGAATGGAAACATTGATAATCATATTAGGTATCTAAATATAATGTCTTCTTTTTCTATTTCATTTTAAATTCTCTTAATTTTGCTTCTCTTATTTTTGTGGCTTTTTGTAGAGACGTTTTCAATCTCTGACTTTACTACAGTGCAATCACTAAGTGATGCAGACCAAGTCAAAACCTCAGATCTTTCAGCCACAGATTAAGCAGCAGGTCAGTGTTCGAGGTTCATTTGAATTTGAGGTTTGTTCATCCTACCTTTTCCCGAGCCGAAGAAACAGTCCATCTCCACGCTGGAGCGCGAGTGGGACACGCAGAGCGCAGAGCTGGGTACCAGTCCCTCCTGTGGTGGGCTGCGGTCAGTGGTCCGGACCAGGCACCAGCCGGGCCGCTCGCTCGGTCGCTCCAACAGCTCAACTGTCTGACCTGCAGAGGAGAGCAGACAGCTTTTTTACAGTGTATTAACTTCAGACGATCTTATTTCACGCCTTCTGGTCGACATTTTCCACAGAAAAATGTTGAATATATGAATATAAACACATGAACACAGACTAAACTGAATCACTAAAACTACCTACTACTGAAGCCAAACTCTGCATGGATGAAGTTTCTCTCACCTGTGCTGACAGACATCTCCGTGCTGCATCCTGCTGTGAAGTCCTGAAGGACGACTGTCAACTCACAACCACCAGAGAGCTGCAAAAAGAAAGAGACGCCACATTTGATGAGACTTTTCAAATCTCACTTGTGTGTTACAACATCCTCTGTGCGTGTGAGTGAGCCTTTTATATTCTAACAAACTTAATCTACATTTTAGCTTGAAAGACTCTGCTGCAAATCCACCTGATGACAAAGGAAGAGAAACTTAATCCTGCCCCGAGTCAGGACTGACATCAGTGTTTACACAATAAACACTGAATATTTCCACACAGAAAAACATGCACCTCGATGTTCATGTGCCTGTGAACTGGTGAACAGGTTTGTAGAGTTTAAAGTCTCTCAACGTTCAGGAAAATGAGTAAACTTTACCTTTTAGATTTAAAAACGACAAAACCCCAGCAGCTGCTTTTTAGAGTTTGCAGAGTTAAATCTTGTGCAGGCTGGAGGAACACGGTGTGCACATGTATTCATGACTTTCCTTTGGTTTTATAACACTGAACCTTACATACAGAAAAAGAGCTGAACTGAGCATGAATAAAAGCTGTGAGAGGACGTACAAAATCCTCGTTTGGTGTAAAAATCAACTGAGCACAAACATTTCCACGCAATGTGGAAGTTCAGTGTAACCCTGAACCACTTCCTGACCTGGAAACGCTGGAAATGACTGGACTCCAATTTCATAGAAAGACAACAGGAAGGTATCAAACAGCTGCCAAACATCTAAATATGTATGCATTGGCTTGGTTTTACTTTTGAACTTGAATGTGGGTCTGCTGGACTCGGTGTGGACAGTACAGCTGTTAATGTCATCAGCTGGACAATTTTCAGAGTTAATGATTGATAGAACATGATAAGGAAAGGATAAAACTGAAGACGTGAGTTACAGTGTTCGTCAGTGTTGACGGGACATGCTGTAGACTGCACTGTCATAATGGCTTAATAGTCCTGTTATGTAAAGAGTAAATTGGAACGCACACACTCGGACACTTAATAGTAATATAACTGATGTCATACTGCTGAGGTGTGTTGACCTTTACTAGAGTTTAACTGAAACACCATGTGTGCAAAAGGCATAAGACATCAATACATTAAAAAAAAAAAAAACAGCAGCACATACAAATATATACGGCGCCATGGAAACACAAGATAGACGATCACAGCACAGACTCAGTTTCAGTCAATGTGTGTTTAAAAAAAAAAAAAAAACACTTGATCTGATGTGACCTGAAAACCTGTGTACTGTATAAACACAATGTCAGCTGATGGGCTGTTTATACCGCACTATGGAGTGTAACAACTAGTGAAGGCAGACACATCAGCACATCTCCCAAATCTGTCCCGTTGTTTTGTTGTTATTGCTGATATTGCAGAGCTGGGATTTTTTTTTTTTGACTTCTTGCATCAGTCACACCAGCAACACAATCAAATCACCACAAAAGTGGCTCCAGGATGTAAATGAATCTACATTCTTCCCCTCCGACTTCCTTCTCTTCCTCTATCTGCCTCGTCTGCTCAACTCGCATTGTCTTGGAAAATGTCAGGGACTATGTGTCTGTGTGTGTACGTTTGTAAGCAGACACTCTTTTCCAGGCGAAAGATCTCCTAGCAACAAAGACCCCTGTTTCTATAAAAGGTACAGGTGACTTTTTACCTGACAGATGGCAGTGGCACACGCGCACACACACACACACACACACACACACACACAGCAACTAAAGGCCCACGCAGGTGTTTTCACTTAATCTGGCTGATTAGACTTCTGCTCAGGCTGAAGGTGCAAGTGTGACGTCACCAAACTGCTGCTAATTAAAGTGTCATTTGCTCCATTTCTCGGTGCAGGCATGCCGCTTGCTGCGCTGCTTATATGGAGTGCAGGCAGGAGATGACGCAGCAGGTAGCAGCTGATATCAAAGAGCAGCAGGTAGTTGAGATGCCGTGATAATCTTTAATCTTTCCACAGCTATTACATTTTCACATACAGTACTTTACCTGTACAGGTCTTCTCAGAACTGTCCGGGCAAAATAGGAGAAAACACCTGTGTGGGTGGACAATGAGCATGTAAGGCTTGACGAGAATATACAGGTAAATACAGGGTTGCCGCATGTCAACAACAACATTTGGCTTCCCTGCTGAGATCTAAATCATTGTTTGACAAGACGGTCACCCAATGGAAGCAAAAGTGCAAGCTCAATGGGAAGCTAAGTGTGGTTCACTCTCCATCCAGAAATGTAAAGCAAAAAGCCATCAATCTGGTTCAATCTTATGAAAAAAACGTTTATCCATTCGAATTTTAAGTGTCTCAAGAGCAAAAAACATGTTTGTTAATCATGACGCAGCAAAACGTTCATCAGTTGATCTTCATATCTATTGAATCCGACACACTTATCTCTACACCTGGAGGTTTGAGGCTTTAGCAGAATGACACCGATTTGTTTTTAAGCTGAGCGGAAAGGAAGCTGGTTAGCCACATTAGGAATGTTAACATGCTAATTACTAGACTTTGCTCCATAACAGTTCAACTAGAGTGCAGCTAGTCCATATCTACAAACATCATTACAGTAGTTTGTTCTCTATGCTATTCATCCAGTTGATTATCCTCTCCATAGGAAATTATCATGATTAGGAAGGTGTTTCTTAAATGTGCCTCAGTACAAAATGAAAAAGGTTTTGATATAGATAATGAGCCATTTTATTAGTATTTTGTTATTTGTTGAATAAACTACAGTAAACTTCAGTTGTCTGAATTTTAACTCAACTATTACCATACTAACATACTATACCATCTCCACAACCAGATATTTAAATACATTATCATCAACATAAAAACTTTCAGTGTGACAGGACCCACCAATAGAGCAACTGCTCTCCTCCTCTCAGTACCACTCGTCTGATGGTCTTTTTATTTGTGTGCTTGTTTGAGGGTGTGTCTTGTCCTCTAGTGCTATCTGTCACATGACACATTTCTGTGCCCTGGCAACACACACACACACACACACACACAAACACGCACACGTCAGCTTGTGATTGTCATATGTTAGCGCAGAGGAAGACACTGTTAAGCAGAACGAACTCGCTTCACCTCCAACAGCAGAATGTGTTGAGATCTAGAACCGTCCGTGTTATTCATCAGATAAGGACACTGAAGATTTTCTTTGCTTAGCATTGGGTGGATTTGTTTGAAAGCACTCTGTGTGCACAGCAACCTTTATTCAGTATTAGCTCAGTAAGTATCAGATACGTTGATAAATGGTAGATATGGTTTCCTTCAAAAGGCAAACCGCCCCTGTGAGCGCTTTACAAAGACAGAACTGAGTTTGACAATGTGTATTTCAAAGCTCTGGGCATATATGCTTATTCTGGGAGGATAAACTCGTTTTCTGCAGAAACTAATTTTGTTTTTAAAGACAAATTCATGTGGAGGATGAAGGGAAAAGAGGGAAGACAGCAGATCTGTCTCCTTTCATATTGGCTGGTTTGAATTATCACCAGAAAAGCACCAGACATTTATGCATTCATATTAATATGTGTAATATATGATCATTTATAAATAACAGGGTTAACTCTGGATACTTTAACCACATTTTGGTGATAATATTTATGTACTTTTACTTACTATAAGTAGGCTTTTAAATGCGGGACTTTTTCCAACAGTGAGTGATGATTAAAACTGAAATTAAATTAATTAAAATGTTAAATCAATTAAAATTGTTATGGCTAATGGAGGCCTTTAACCAGGGCCAAGCACAATGGGCTACATTCAGAATCAAAGGTCCCAAAAAATGTAATTATTAGATGCTTGAAGTGATGCATTTTCTTTTGAAACAGGATGTTGACAAACATCAGTGAAGGATAAATTTTAAAGCGTCAACCACTGAGCCATTCGCTGTAGAGAGAAAGATCGATTTCTGATTCGCCAGGATGGAAAGAAAGCCAGTCGTGTTAAAAGTGAGATGGCTTCAACTAGTCAGTCACGCTCATTAGGGGCAGCACAAGGTCACCACTGGAATAAATCAAGATGAAAGGCCATTAATTTGAAAAAGCTGCCATTTTGACAGTCATATGACTCCTGTGCCTCTCGCACACGAACAAACTTCTGAAAATGGTTTAGTGCTCGACGAGCTGCCAGGGAGTGAAAACTGTACACATAACTCAGCGGAGCGACAGTCTGCGCTTATGTGGAAATATTTTTGATTGTCAGGGACCGCCAACCGTGTGTCCAAGGACAACTCTCATATGAAACTAATTTGCGATACTTATATTCACTGGCAACGTTTTGTTCTAGTGTAAGAAGTGCGTGCCACACTCTTATACCGCAGCGCCTGACTTCTGTTCCGTCTTGTGCTTCAAGTCAGATTTGACTTGTTCAATAGTCATCAAACACACCGATCTTTCCCTAAACCTAACCAAGTGCTGCCCAAATATTAACATAAAAACATGAATCATGCTTTACCTGCCAGAAGCAAATATTGCAGGGAAAACCATGAAACAAATTATATTTTGCAGATATGATAAAAATGAATGAGATCAGATGATATACGTGCTACTTCACATTTCCTGATCAGTTCATTTACCTGTAGCTAATGTATATTTCTCTAGAGAGCAGTTCTACAACATTCCTACCATGCTTTTTTTATTATTAAGTTCCTTATAACTGTTTCACTGTTCCTATTTTCTCATAAGACTGACTACAGCTATAGATATTTCAGAGTCTGCTACCATCCATTTTCATTTTATACAATATCAGTGAAGTGGAAAGGTCAAGCACGGTTAGCTTGTCAAATCTGAATGTACTGCTCATCCATACAAACTGACACACTGAGCAGATGTGCAGAAAGAATTAGAATAATAACGAGACTGACTTGGTACATTTTGTTCTGCACTACGAACTCATATATCAGGTCTACAGAATGGTAAATACTTTCATGGATACCTCAGCAACACATAAAGGTCTTTTTGTATGCGAGTGTACTTTACATAGACTGCAGATGTATCAATTTCATGGAGAAAAAAACTGTGATTACAAGAGTCGGAGAGT